AGGTATCTGTCCATCCTGTCCAATTGTCGCAAAGAAGCAAATACCTCATGCTGTGAGCAGACAATGTTGGACGTGTGCCCTGTTTGTTAAAACCCACAGCGCTGCTGAGCTGCAGTCTGGGCTGCAGGTGTTGTGTTGGGCTGAAAGGTCTCAGCAGGGGGTCTCTTGTGCCCCCCCCGATTGCTCTATTCCTGCTTTCATCATATCCCGGCCAGCAGAACAGACACTCAACATACAGCATGTCTCTATTGCACCACTTCTGTCATTTGTTGTCTGCACTTTTCGCTAAGTTACATGGGGTGTACAGTACATGATCTGCCTCGTCTTGCATGCACCACACATAACTGAAAATAAATATGAAAATTATTACTATTGATAAAGTTCTTCTATAGAATGATCCAACCAAAAGACCAGTTCAGTCCCAGTCCTTCTTAACAATGTAAATGTTCAAACATTATTCATATATCATTATACTACTAATATAGCTGTGACTAATATTACCATCTGTGCAATGTACATACTCTTCACTGATTCTGGTACTTTCCCATCAATCCATCTTCTTACTGCTTCTCCGGGTAATGATTGTGATCTGGCCTGTCAGAGCAGACCGCTTCTTTCAGACACTGGTTCCTTCAGGGGGCTTCCCAGCTCCTGGTTGTCCTCCCTTAATGAGCAGATCTGTGGGGTGACGCTCTGGAAAGGCACCAATCAGTGCCATGGAAGCACCACTGTAATGCAACAAGGCTATGTGGAGGTATCTGGGGACCCCCACCCACAAGGCTATGTGGAGGTGAGGTGTGAATTTTGTCTCCACCGTCTTCTGAAGTATATGAAAAAGTTAGTTTTTTTTTCATCACATTAATGAAGGGCTAATTAGGCTAATTATTACCCCAGTTTGGAATTTTGGAAGCACTTATAACATAATGCCCATAAAACATTGGTTTCAGAAATATTGTTATTGTGGGGCGAGCTGTGAGTTTTCTGATATGTGCCACAATGCGTGTAGCACGGATCGGGGAAACAGGCAAATGGAAGCCAGGAATCGGGGAATACGGGGTTTAATCAAAGCGGTCAAAGGAAACAGACAATATACAGGGTAACATTACAATGACCGGACTGGGGAAACAAACGGAAACGCGGACTAAATACAATGGACTAATTGACAACGATCAGGAACAGCTGGTAAACACGGGGAATCCACATGCGGTTAACGAGGGGGCGTGGCACACGAGGGGAGCGGACGATCGGGGCAGGACAATATGTTTTAAGCATCAGTACAGGGGCATAGCTGCCTGTGTTTGGGCCCCCGAGCAGAGGCCCCTGCAGTACATTTTGGGGCCCTCTATTGTGCTGCCCCCCCCAAATCATGCCCCTCTGAGCCCTCCCATGTTCATTTCCTGTCAGAGAAATATTGTTTGTTATTGACTTTACTGCACTTGGTGGGATTTTGCATGAACAAAAAGTCCTGTGACATTAATATAAAGTGCAGAATTTGACCAAATCATCTGTCTTTACTGGTGTCTTTTTGACCAATTGGATCTTATTCTGCTTGATCAAAGACAGGAACATGAACTGGCTATTAATGAAGCAGAATGTAAACTGGGGACATGAATATAGTCACATATTTCTCCAGCTACAATATGAAATGCTTGCATGGTTTGAACATGGCACTAATATTTAAACAAAGCAGCCATAGTGTTTATTCAGTGTGAATTTCAGCTTTTTACTAAAATGGCTGGTAAGTGATTTATGGTGAGAGTTGCTCCAGGCAGCACAGAACAGCTTTTACGAGCCATTCAGAGGCTCTGAGATTGTGACACTTTTAGTGAATTAAAACTATTCTGAGGAATTTATTAAACATAAGCTGTGTTTTCTTAATACGTCAGTTCAGCTTTATCAATTGCTGTGAAGAAGAAAAAGTGAAAAATGATTTTAAATATTTAATCGGCGAGAATCAAATTAGACTTAAATGCAAAAAATGTCCTTATTTGCAATTAAAATGATTAAAATGTTTATCACCAGTGCCCTGCACTGGAGAAGCAGGTATGCCAGACAGATGGATGGACGTTTGCTTTTTACTGTTACGTATAAAACATCGAAGGCAAGGATGGAGGTGAAGGTAGGGGTGGGGGAAACCAAAAGGGGGGCTTTATTAAAGGAAACTACGAGCAGGGCAAAAAAATGGACCATGAGGGGTCAAAACAGGGTAGGGAGGATCAGGCAAGAACAGTGGACACAGGACACACTGGGGAGCACATGCAGGCAGCAACATCAATGAGGGGACTGGGGATCGCAGGACTGAAGGACGCTTTATACAGGGCATGTGAAGGAGCAGACGAGAGGCACCTGGAGTTGAAATTATACAGGCAACGAGGGAGAGAATGAGGGGGAGGGAGGTAGGGTGTGACAAAACTTTCAGTCAGCTTGGGATATGCAGTCATTGAGATATGTGTATGTTATTATTAATATTACAAATAGATATAAAGCCTTTGTTAATCAGATATGTGATTTGTACTATTGGTCTCATTTTGAAATAAGCTAAAAAGTAATTATGAGAATGTTCAGAGGATTCGGTGCCCATTTACCTCTACAGTAGCTGTTTGGATATAGCAATAGGAATAAGTCTGCAGTGCATTATATATATTTTCAGCTGTGTTGGAACTGAATATTGAGTGCTACAAGATGGCAAAGCACACAGCAGATAGCAAAGCGCACAGCAGAGAGCAAAGCGTACGCCTGCAGTGCTATGTCTCCTCTGATACTGAAAACCATTTTGGTGTCCAAAATAAGGAGATGGCTGAATGGGTGTATTTTAACACATGTTGTGTATTTATGCCCTGTGATAGACTGTCATCCCATCCAGCATATGCCGTGCCTTATGCTTCCCAGGACAGACTCGAAGGTCAGCATGGCCCTCTACCAGATAAACAGTGGTGGAAGATGGATGGATGTATTTTACATATTTATCCGCCCGAAGACCAAATATGAATTTTGTTAGAATGCCATCACCACTATAAGGAGGAATTTGGGTCAACTGGATGTGGGTTAGATGGGAAAAAACAGGAGATAAGAGGCTCAAAATGAACACCACGCAAAGATAATATTTTTATGCAGTGAGATACGGTAGGAAAACATCCGGGGATGGAGAATTGGCTTTTTCTCTTCCACTTGCTGCTGTGGAGGTGCTCTCTGGTCTAGTGCTTTATTATCTAAATTTCCACGTAGCCGCCCTCATGTAGCAGATGCACGTCGGGACACCTGGAGTTTGTGGTGTGAAGTGTAGCTGCTCTTCAGGGAGGTCCAGCCAGTCATCTGCGTGCATTTCTCTACGCAATCAAGCGATCGATCGGCCAAACCGTTATTTCAAATCGTATTCACGAGCAGCTGCGACTTCACTTTCGACTTCCTGGAGGGCATGAGAAGAACAAAGGAAACATCTCAAAGGGAAAAAGCGAAAATGAGGCCCTGACCCCCATCACAGGAGGTAACCAAGAAAAAACACAACAGATAAGAAATAAAATTATTTTCATTCTCTGGTGTGAGTTTGGGCTATTTCAATGAACATTTTTTAATGTATATAATTAATTTTCTGCTTGGAATTAACTGCAGTTGAAATAAGCATTGTTCCACATGGAAGCACTTTCCCTTAAATGATCTCGAGCAATAAACAAAGTTTTTGTCACTGTGCTGGGAAAACCGCATTACATCTCCACAAGGACACAAGAAGTTAAGAGATATGAGAATGTTATGCAGTAGCTGGATGACCTTCTCTCAACAAGTTTGGGCTTCAGAACCTTCTGTCATTGATCACGGTCTGAATGTGAGGATGGCGTGGTGGCGCAGTGGGTCATGTTATGTTGTTATCCTGTGTGAGTCTCCTATGACTGACCGCTGTCCCGCCCAGGGGGCGTCACTGATCGTCTGTGTCTCCCAGGCCAGACTTCAGGCAACTTCTATCGCAATTGATTAGTGGCTTATTGAAAAAGGGATGGACAATGTGGACCAACGCCCAGTGCACTGAGCCTTCTTGGGAGAAGACAACTGGAGAACACTGAGTCACACCAGAAACGCTTGGCTGGTCCTCAGCACCTGGAGCGGCTCTAAATGACCGCATCTGCAGCCAATTACACACTGTACAACGAGGATAAAGGCATCCGCAGAGACGGCAGTGGGCAGCTGAAGTCACGGCGTGACGGGAAACAGAGCCGCTACCTAAGTGATCTCTTTAGTCTCTCTGATGCCATGGTGGAAGATGACCCCCGACAGCTTAGCCTAGAGTAAGATAGAGAGAGACTTTGGCCCCGGTGTGTTTTCTTTTATTCTCAGGTGTCTTTACTCTAGAACGTTCATTTGACATATTTGGCTCTGCCTTTTTTCAGATGTTGTTGCTATCTTAGCAACATCTTAGCTATAGGTTCCTAACTTGTAGAACAATCAGCACAAACTTCCGA